TTGGTAGCTCACAAAGGCCAGCAGCAATAAAACAAGAAGCAGCATGGTAATAAATAACTGTAGTAAAAGTATACGATATAAAGTAAAAGGAAGGCACTTAGCACAGTAAATAACAAAGAAAATATAATAGTATTTACAATATGATAGTTTGAGCGCAAACAGTATAAGATAATATAACAGTATTTACAGTGTGGTAATTTAGTGCAAACATTAATGCCAGTAAATGACTTTGTACATATGCAGCAGACATGATATGGGGTAAAGGAGAGAGAGGGAGAGTTAGCTAATGGGGTGATATGGTACTATAAGGTCATTAACCCTTTCACGCACAGTGGTCACTTCAGTGGACAGCTATTCACAGGCTGTTTTCTTGTATTTGTGTCAATGTTGATGGTATATTTGCACATAAACAACTACATTGGACACTGATGTGTCACTCCATATTCAATTCATAAGTCAAAACATATGTTGTCCACCAAAGTGGACATGTAAATTGTGCCTAAAGAAGAATAAAAATACTTAAGAAAAAAAATCCTGTCATCATCCTTCCTTCATATATGAAGGGTTAAATACCTTTGTTACCCTTTTGTTAAAACATAGAAAAATGCACCACACAAAAATACTGCAAAAGGAAAAGTTTGCCTTATATGCATATAGTGTATTATTGTTGAAGACAATAATACACTGCCTATTATACACAATAATACACAGTAAGACAGGCGTGGATAACAGCACTGACTGGGAGGGGCTGTGAACAGATGACATACTTCAGTTCAACATATAAGACTTTAAGAATGCACAAGCATCTATCTAAAATCTATTTATTTAATCGATCATCTGTGATATTATTATGCGCAATTATAATGTAATGTTCATCTCCCTTAAAAAAAACAGGCAGCCTTAAAGTATGAAATATTCACATACAAACATATTTGTCTATTGTGTCAGTGGCTGATAGTGCCTCAGTGTGAGCTTGAAGCCATTTATAATGTTTAAGTTGTTTAACGTGTAGGTGCTCACAATAAACAGATTTGGAATGAAAGTCGGGGAACTTCAGTAGCACAAAATTATATTCTTTGTGCACATATGCATCAGGCATTTACTATTATTTCCCCCAAAGGTGTTGTCAAAGGTTCCAAGTTAATAGTTGAAAAAGCCGCAGCAATACA